AGTGAGAAGCTCTTCTGTTTTTCCAAATTTTATTGTCAATATATTGTGGAAGAGCAAAAGAACTTCTCACTCCTACACAAAAGAACCGTACGGTTGTTGGGCCAACGATGAGACCGCCATTGCACCCCTACCATCATCAATACATCAAAGGTGCATTTGTATGTGCAGCAAACACACCAAGAATAATATCTATTTTCCCATGAGAATCGTCGAAAAACTGTAATGGTGCATTTGGGAGATGCCGTGAGCTTCAGACGCACACGTTCTCCCAGATGTGTATGTCTGACATTAAGTGTCCTACTCCGAAAAATGAGTCTTAATTAGACTGGGAGGGGCATGAAATGTGTGTTACAGATTCTTGAATTGTAAAAATGACCAAGGACCAATGGTTCAGAGTGGGTGCCCATCACCGGTGGTGGACATTGACTAAATAGAATAGCCTGAAGGTGTACGACACTGACAAAACTCTTTTAGTGCATCACCTCCTATATCTATCAAAGTTATTAATTTATAAGAGTGATTACTGTGACTTTTGATTAATGACTGCCAGTTATAAAATTACGTCACAATAACTGTTTGCGTCATAATAGCTGTTTCGCTCTGCTACGCTTCTGATAATGAAAACACAAATGCCAGGGATTTTTCACGCGTTCGTTTTCAATGAATGAAAACGAAAACGCGAGAAAAAATACAGTCTGTCAATGGTCAACGAGCAAGCTCTAACCAGGTAAGTTCGCCAAGTTACCTGGAACTTTGAATGGAGACCTGGGTAGATCGATAGAGTCTATAAGGTTATTTACAAATATAGATAGCAAAACTGCAACCTGCATTTCACAAGCAACTTATGAGCAGGTAAAGTTTGTAATGGTGCAGTAGGGTGGAGGCTTGGTGGTGAGCTGTGAAGCATAAGCGAGGAATCGCATACGTCGAATCGAGTCGTGGTGGTGTGGTAAGCCAGGTTGACCAGTTTTGCTATCTATACTTGCTAATAACCTTATAGACTCTCACCCGAACTACCCAAGTCTCGCATTAGCAGATTCCATGTGTAAGTTTGGCCTTTCCCTGCGTAAATCCGAAGATCTGGCACGAACTTCTTCGTTCCTTCGAATGAATCGGAGTTACTTTTATTGACATCTGTCAGGGAGCTATTTACATCCACTTTCCAATCTTGACTCTCAATTATGACTAACTCCACTTTATAGGTATTCTACCGTTTTCTCTCGACGAGAGCTACGAGTAGGGCAATAGTGTAATGTGACGGATGCAGATCGGCCACGGAAGGGCATTTAACGCCTTCGTTACTTCCCATCAACGGTCGAGTCATCAAGTAGAGATTCTGAAATGTGTGAAAACAATCGAGTAATACCAGTCGTTTGTTTTTTTTTTAGAGATCACTTAACAACCCTTCCCGAGAGTGTCCTGTCGACCCTAAAGTGAATAAACCTGAGGGATGAGAAGCAGCAATGGTGGGAAATGCCCCCCTCGCGTCGCCGAACTGCACTCTGTGACGTTTCATACTCGCCTTAAGTGTTCGAAAAACGGCGGGGAAAGCGAATGCGAGCTTATTCTGTTTTTTGTTATCACACTTCTTCAATTTTTCTATAGAGAACCCTATGCGGATAGGTTCATCACGCTGCAACTACAAGTACCTTTGGATTTGAAAATTTTTCCAATTCTCTCTGCAAACCTGCATCCCCTCGAAATACTAGCTAACAACTGTAACAGCGCCATTAACTATTGAAAACTGAGGTCAGGTATGAAGGTGCTACCGGATTCGGCGGAACCCATCAATTGGAAGACAAACTGAACACACGCCTTCGTGGATGGTCTTTGTCATGTGCGGTGTCAATGGGTCCACAGCTGCACTAGCGTGCTTGTTTCTCCGCTTAAAATTGCATGGGAGCGAGGGTAGTGATGTTCGGGTATCATCTCGTATCATTTGCCGGCGCTATCTCCGTTGTGCAGCGTTTGCGTCTAAACCAAAATCCCGTAGCAAACACGCTCTGTTTGACAGAGATCAACTAGAAAAAAGAGAATGCAGCGAAGCATGGCGTTTGGCTATGCTCCTAGCTCGCCATGTGGCGGCGCGAGTGGAGCACAGAGTATGGCCGGTAATAGCGAGTCTCCAGCCTCGTTCCTGTGCACTTTTGACCCCCTGAGAAAGTGGCACGTACTGCACTGTGGACCAGTTCTCCCCTTTACGCGGCATGAACAAGGGTCCATGAAGGTACATTAGTGTACTGTTTGACTTTCAATTACTGTGCTGAAAGTGTGGGAAATAAATTAGCTAATGAGGTTGCATACAGGTTTTCGAAGGTGAAGGTGAATTAATTATTTGAGTTCTCACAGTCACCGTTTTGAAGGCAATTAGGTGCCGATTCCCTAGTTACCATCCTATACTTTGTACTTATGTGGGAGTAGGGCTACCATCTTTCCCAGTGCAACGAGAAACAATATGAGAGCAACTAGCAGCTAAAAATGTATCTCACGTAGCTCAGATCAAGTCTCGAATTACTTGGCTGGGAGGGAGAAGCTTGAAACATCTGGCATTATCAAACTGTTTTATTACACATAAAAATTGCAAGTTCCTTGTAGCCAGTCTCATCCAGTGGTGCGCTATTTGTCCGCTCTACAGGGAGCCGGGGGGGGTGGCAAAAGCACTTCGGCCGAGTCCCATATCAGCAAAGTTTTCGCAGCTCAGACAGGGGAGGTAGATACAAGTACCAAGGCCGAAGATACCCAGTGTGTTCCTCCGATTAAGTAGGAAGCGGCTCTCCCCCATTACCTCATGTAACACCAATTATGAAGCCATGCAGCCTAACTGCGAGAAGCCTGATGAATTCCGTCATTTCCAAAAAGCTGCGAAACTTCCTGTCACTTATGGACCGCTACCTGGAGATCAGCACTCTTGAACTGGAAGACGTCCAACATCGAGCAGCTCCGAAAACGTTGCTTTACGGTCCAGGAATTCGTCACTTCCGCGCAGGTCGCCAAGGCGCGGGTTGGATGGTTGGACCCGCGAATTCTCAAATGCGACGACCGATTATATTTTCTTCGTGAACTCCGGACTCAAATAGGACCGTGACGTGCTACATCGAACTTCTTGAAATATCCTGCCTTCATGTCGTTGCTGTTATCTTCTCGCGAAAGGTTCGTACTGCTACAGGATTGGGTGCCTCCACACGAAATCGAACGGCGCTGCAAAAACTCTCGCCTGCTTGGAATCGAAGAGCGTTGAGTACCTGACAGACGGAATATCTAGGTGTGCCACTTGACCTAAACCTCCCTGTTTACCGAATCCGAGCGGCGGAGCTTAACAGGGTGGTCTACAGTTTTGAAGAAACCAACGATCTCGCTGAATTCAGGCACCGAATCAGTACCGAATCACGATCGCGTGGCAGAATCTCTCGATGGCGCTCGTCCAGAAGGCTGTGGCGGAGTATCATGATAGTATACAATATGCTGTTGAATATGGTGGTGGAAATGTCCAATCAGAATTTAATAAAGTGTAACTTATATCGCCTTGAAAGTCGAGGAAGAAAAGTCTTTTTTGTGCCCCCCCCCTGTACATACGGCGCCTGCACGTGGATCCGCGAGCTTTCTCACAAAAACTGTAACAAGACTACATACGTGTTGTAGTTACTCGCTGCAGCAATAGTTTCTATTTCTCGTTACCAACCGAAGCGACTGATTTAATCCAGATGTATGCGCATAGGGCTTGTTTACAGGCAGCGGTAGCATACACACGATAACAAATTTTCACGCAATCTAGCGATAAATCTAATCAAATACTTCGTTCACCTGATACTCACATGCTCTACCTATACTAGCGCCATTGGAACAGTCATCGACTAGCAATTTACGTTCCACTCACATGGGAGGGGGGAGGGGAACTTTATTCAGTACGACCCTTTCTCTGAACCGTCGTGCATAGGGATAAGAACATGGGATGAATTCAACAATAAGCAGTCGAAAAAAACTTTCATGTGGCCCAAATACGCCACTGTGGTCAGAAGAGTTGCTTTAGCTCTGCGAAATGACGTTCAGTCTTTTTTTGGCCGTCATTGTAGCTTTACGCTCGAAGAGTGAAGCTTTCACTGTCGACAAACTACTTTCAAGGATACTGCACGCACGCTACTTCCATTCGTACTGGCTTCTGGATGTGCACTGTGGCAGTCATTTGCGGAAGGGGAAGCGGCCCAATGTATTAGGTTGGCGGGGAAGTTCTGTCACACGTTTTCGAACAAGCAAAAATATGTACTTGCCCATTCATCTGAAGAGTGAAACGGTCAATGTGAGCACTTATACAACAAGGAGTAGTCTTTCTATTAGTGCCACTCGCTTGAATCCTGCTTCTTTTTCTTCTTCTGTAATATGCAAGGATTTTATCCGCATACCATCGGCCAGCTGACACCCAATCTCCAGCCAATACCCTTTCTTCCTATCACCTGACGTCACCGCCTCGCCAGCATGATAGCTGTAGATGCCCAAATAATGAGCCTGAATAAGAGAACGCACGCCCTTTTCAAATTATTGTGACTCCAACCTTCCAACGACGGCATGCCAAGCTGCTTCAAAGCGGCAGCTCACAGTTTTGATGACAATGTGACGTTTGGGTTATCTGTGAAGTCGGAGTGAGGGAGCTGCGGGTCGTGAAACTGAAACTGAATGAGGAAGCTGCTTCCTCGGTCAATGCATACGCAAAACAGCTTCGAGATTTGAAGCGTACCGACTTAATAGAAGTCGAGATTTTTTTGTCTTCACCAGCACGAGCCTAGTAATACTTAGTTATAGTTAGTACATACTCATCCGCCGACACAGTATCGGAAGGCCGGATTCGGACTCGGAGCCCCGGGGGAGAGCCGATCTAGGATCTTGATCCCCAGACCACGCATGTGTCAGGCCACTTGCCACTGCATTACTAATGATTAATTGTCTTGGTTACATGATATTCTATAGCTACTGAAAGTCAATATTCGTGTGGAAGAAGATATAAACAGATGGAAATGGCTCTCTCCAAGTAAGGTTCAAGCTTTTCGCACTACTATAAGTATGGCTTGAAGCCTTTATTAGCGCGGCGAACTGCTGGGCCATGGAGCGTGTAACCTATTTCCGCCTATTGTTTCAGAACTCAGCAGAGGCAGGGAATTGTTTAGGGTAATTTCTCATTCTCTTCTTCGCAGTAGGCAAATTTCTTCCAGGCTCTCTTGTAAGATTATTCAGCGAGTCTACTAATTCACGAAGTTATTTGACGTCGGAGTGGTCGACGATCGTGAACGAACGGAAATGGATTTCATTGTTTCGACAATGTGAATGTCGTTATCTACATAGCAGCTATTAGTGAATACGATCAAGTACTACGAGAGGACAATAAAACGGTGAGTTCAAAACTTAAATTCACTTTTGTGTATGAATTTATTTGATAAATATCAACTCCCTTTCGCAGAGTGACAATTGCATTAGGCAGGTCAATTATGCGTACATTCTGATTAAGAGGTTAAAGGGCAGCGCCCACGTTCATTTGATGTTCCCGCGCCCTCTCTGGATATCATAGCCCTCCCTATGAGGATGCAGTATGTACTAGTTTTGCATCTCAAAAAGGCGAGAGGATAGCGCCGTTCGCTAGTGAAGAGTCGGCCGCCCCGCCCACCTGGCCAGCATAGGGTTCTATATAGGGCATTTTCCATGATTTTTTCTGCTTTTTTTCTTCACTACTGGATCACGTATTATATGAGCTCCATAACTCATTATTCTTGAAAGCGGGCTCAGCCTTTAAAGGCTAAGCCAAAGCAGTTATGGCAGCCAGGTGGGCGGGGCGGCATCCTCTTCACAAGCGGGTGGCCACCCTCTCGTACTTTTGCGAAATTAGTACATCCTCCACCCTTGTCGACAAAGCTACGATATCTAAGGAGGGCGTAGGAACATCAAATGAACGCGGGCGCTGATTTAAAGTCGTCTGTGAGCCAGCACTGACTGAGTTCAGAGTCCAATGTCTAGCATGTGTCTAGTTATTCACTTTACTCTGAGTACCGTATTCTTCATACCTAACTAGCCTTTGTCTCTTTACAGAATCGACTCAAAGAAGCCCTATTGCTGTTCGACGGCGTTGTTAACAACCAATATTTCAAGGATGTATCCGTTATATTGTTTCTTAACAAAAAAGATTTATTCGCCGAAAAAATATTATACGTATCGTTGAAAGTCTGTTTTGAAACCTATGACGGTAAGTGGTGCTTTCTCGAAACACACAGTTAAACGCACGTCTCACAATAATAACTAGTAGATGGCGGATTTAGAAACAAAATTGTATGTGCTAGCCGTTCCCGGGGAAAAGTCACAGGAAACAGTCGAAAACACCCTAATTACCAGGGAAGTCCGCCAGCTTACCATGGATTTTGAATGGAGACCTGGGTAGATCGATAGAGTCTATAAGGTTATTTACAAATATAGATAGCAAAACTGCAACCTGCATTTTAGATGGAGGCTTGTTGGTGAGCTGTGAAGCATAAGCGAGGAGACGCGTAGACTTGCTCGAGTCTTGGGTGGTTCAGGGTAGGTTCGACGATTGCGGGCGCAGTTTGTCGTACGGGGGGCGAGTTTGCACTTTTGCTACTTCCCATCGACGTGTCGGCCTATCTGGAGAGCCTCTTCTCGAGTTGACAGGTTTTAACATGATGGCTTGACTAACTTGTTCCAGCTTCACAACAGTTCACAGGTTTCCAGAGTGAGACATGTAAACCGGAACTGAGGAAGCAATGATAGTACAAAATGCCCCCTGTCGACAAACAGCACCGGTGGTTCAGGGGTAAGGTTCGACGTTCGACGACTCCGACGTATGCGATTCCTCGCTTATGCTTCACAGCACCAAGCCTCCACCCTACTGCACCATTACAAACTTTACCTGCTCATAAGTTGCTTGTGAAATGCAGGTTGCAGTTTTGCTATCTATATTTGTAAATAACCTTATAGACTCTATCGATCTACCCAGGTCTCCATTCAAAGTTCCATGGTAAGTTGGCGGACTTCCCTGGTTAGTGCTTTCTCTGTTGCAGTTGACTCTGGAGGGGAGAGTCTGGATAAGCGAGAACCCAAGGCGGTACCACACCTGATGAGGAGTCACCTCTTCATAGGTAGAGTCACACGACCACCTGCCCTTTAGTGATTTTACCTAACAGTTTTCTGAAGCGAAACTGGTGCATGGTGTAACCCTCACAACCTGTCACCTCCCAGGGCTTTTCTACAAGTTGTCTTTGCACCAATGCGAGTCCCTCCAATATGAACCGCACAGCTCTTGCTTGACTGCTTTGTCATGAAAAACGGCATGGAGAAAGAAGAATGTGCAAAATGAAAATTTTCCGTTTCACTGCCAATTGACGAAAAGTTTCTTACAGCTGAACGTGACGGCACGGGGTATACGGCTTCGGTGGCGTACATAAGGAAACGATTCGAGAACGCCCTCATCAAACACTCGAAGAAACCGTGAGTTCTATTTTTCCCTCAATCTCCCATTTATGCACCCTCATTGTGCCACTACGCATGGAGGAATAAGGCACTGATTATCACCTATTTGGGATGCGCCATGCATTCCCTTCCACCAAAATCGTGGTGATATTTTGCATGGGCCCACATATACAATAAACTGCAATGGTCATCCTATACACTAGTCAACCTCTGTTTATAATAAGATCAAAAGCACAAGTTGTGCTTTTGAGAAGCGATCTACTCTCTAAAAAAAGCGTTCTGTGAATTTGGCTTATTGCAGGTATATCCACGAGACCTGTGCAACGGACACGAATCAGGTCCAGGTCGTGATCAACTCTGTCATCGACACTATTGTGCAGGAGAATTTGAAAGATACAGGAATGATCTAAAACAGTCATCAATCGGGTTTTCTTCAGTCACGTGTTGGTCTCCGTGGTTAAGGGGACACTATGGATTGCTCAATGGTTTTGAAAATATTTATTGCGGTGCTCTGATGTTCAATAAGCCTTTGCTGTGTTTTGTCCGATTGCAAAAGAGGCCAAATGTTATTGTCGTTCAGGTGGAGTTCATATCAAAGCATGCCATGACAGTGGAAAAAATCTCCTTTGATCTGAGCAGGGTACACCATCGTGATGTGTGAAATGGTAATGTCAGTGCGACCCCCCTCTCCCTCTCAAACGGAGGATCTCGATACGACCCTCCCCCGCCTTTCTCAGGAAAATACCTACCACTTTCCTGCAAGTTCCCAACTTCCTACTACTTTTTCCAAAATTAACTGAGAATTGTCCTTTTTTCGACCAAATACGCAACGATACCCCCCATGGGTTTCACACAACGATGCTGTACCCTGGGTTTAGCCCCTCCACCTTCTTAATTAACTTACAACACCTTGCTTCTCCTTCCGTTCCTCTTTTGCTGTTGACAATCCTTGGTGTGCAGCGTGTCCTGGCCCAGGTTGTCCTTGTCATTTTGAAACAGGTCCACCCACAATAGTTGAATTTTATCGTCGAGATAGAGCGACAGTTGTAGAAACAGGGACTGGGAGCCCACTATCAGCCCAAAAAAAAACCCGGTGAATAAGGAGGCAGTTCAAGCGGACATTGATAGCTGTTCAGGCAATAATTCGCTTACCCGTTCCAAAGCATGAAAATATGAATCAGGGGTGCCAAAAGACGTGAACGCTACCTGAACGTCACAGCAGAAATACAAAACAGCGGTAATGGCTCCTAACAACCTGTTCCCCTCTTGTTTCCTGCATTCATTTTGTATGTTGTAAATATTCTGTTTATTACTGCTGTATATTTTATGATAAAGTATTCGAACTGTGAAGTTCAGATTCAATGCCTCAGACGGTTGTGAGGCGTTACATCCACGCCGCGACAACAGCGCAAGTGTGGCATTTTCCCGCGTTAGTCCTAGAATTTTTCCTGGGAAAAACGCATGGCCCATAAACTAACGCTGTTTCTCAGCTAGTAGTTGCCTTGGCACACCGAGCCCTGTCATGTTGAAAAGGATGGGACTGGTGCCAATGCTGCGCAGGTCACATTGCCTCTAATGCCTTCTTCACCGTCCCGACCTGACCAAGAAACCCCGCAGCGAGTTTTTGCATGGTGCTTGCGTTCTGATTTGGATCCTGCTGATTCAAAGGCCGTCTTGCATTCACCTGATGTGCAGGCCTATCATCGGACAAGGCAGCACGGGCCGCGAGAGCAGAGGATGTACATACTACCCTCGCGCTCAAAAGTACACGATGACGACAACACCGGCTCATGACGAAGGTCCGCTCACAGCCCTTACCACCCTTGACGTTCACGTTGAAGGTTCCTGTTGGTGTGGTCATTCTGCAGCTCTTTCCTTTACGAAGGTGAGAGTGGGGTGACAAGGGAAAATACCATTAAGTGAAAACTTGTCCAAGCACGCCCCATTTTCGCAGTACTCTCGTAGAAGCTCGGATTGGGTTTTTTCCGACCGTTTATCTCTTTTTCTTTCAACTATTGAGCTGATTGAGGCCCACTTCCCACCATCTGTGATTTCGTGACCTGCCCATAACGTGGAAGCGCCGCACTATATCGGGGCAACAAGTGTCCTCAAACCCACCTGTCAGTAAGGTCGAAAAAGTGCGCAGACTTTGCGCATAGTGTGCAAAGATCTGTACTTCAAAGCACACGCAGCGGATGTGGCAGCACTTTGCATTTTTTCCTGCAAGCTTGAGGAGTTCAGTTGTTTGAATCATGAGAAGAGACGACTGAGGCAGCATTGCTGCGCATATCATCGAATCCTAGAGGAGTACTACCTTTATCTTGATTTTATCGCAATTATAACCACCCGTAGACATAACATGATAATCGAAATAAGCATTTTTGTGACAATTTGTGACATTTTTTGCACGGTTGACAAGTGAGCACTGTGATTTTCACCATTTCTTGACCACTTTGAGAGTCCAGCACCAGGTCATCAAGTTCTGCTTGTTCTCATCGACAAGTTGCGATTTAATCGTATATTTACCGCGATGAAAGACACCTGAAACAAGAACAAAACGAAAAAGTGAAAGGCCAATCTGAATACTGTCTGGATGTTTCTTGCTTTGGCTTCTGATCATTTTGATGAGTATTTGATCAGTAGATAGAGAAAAACTTGTAGCATATGACACAGTTTGCCACAAGCTGAGATAGAGGTCTAACCCGGGCTCGGCTTCCATCCACCCTAATCAAGCCTTCCGTTACTGGGAAGTCTGTAAATCGCGACAAGGGACAAAATGAATGTCTTTGGAGGGTAAAATGATTAATCTATGCAATGCAGTTGACTCCATGAGCTGAATCCCTGTCGGGAGCCTCCACAAGTCTGGTGGGGGGGAGGAGGGCAAAATGTGCGGACACTTTCGAGGGGATCAATCGGTTCTAGAAGCTTTTTGACTTTACTTTCTACAGAATAACTTTCTGGTACAATACCATAAGCAGTCCTTCTCGTTATAGTCCTTGTGATTCGAGCTGACTTGATTGAAGGAAGTTTTCAACCACCTCAGTTGGCCACAAATACACTATTTAGACAAAATGGCAAGCACGTTGTAGACTCCGGACGGACCTCAGACTGCCCACACCCTCTAGAGCCATAGACGCTCATTGCAAGTGCATGGCGACAAAGGATAGCCTTCGGTTGTTTACTCTCCCGCAGCTCGTATTCTGCTCGTAAGTCGCATTTTGGCCTCTCATACAATTTCTTGTGGGCCCTCATACAAATTATCTTGTTTGTTTACCCGATATCCAGCGGTAGCAGGATGAAACATTGTCGAATTTGTTTTAGGCCACACACAGATTGTTAGTTGTTTTCGATGTATCCTTTCTCACTTGATGAGCCAACTTAACGGGCCCACAGATCATAAGGCCTTAAGGCAGTTGAGACGATGTATGCTCTACTCACCCAAAATGCGATAGGAGGTGGCGCCTTAGTTTATAGTGGCGGAAATGGCGAAAGAACGTAGTGAAATGATCAAAATCCTGCGAAGAAAAAGCCTCCATTCACAGTGACTTGTAAATCGACGGACGAGTTTCCTGTAGGCATCTTGCCAATCACCGCTACCGAAGATACGGCTGCATATGTGTACCCATATATGCATGCATCACGGCCGCTTCATACCAATCCTTCGCTTCATAATTTGCTTAGCAAATGAATGAATACGAGCGTCAGGAACGGTCGTCCATTTGTGGGCGGGCGTTTGGGACGTAAAGTTGTGGCTTGATAGGGCCTTTATAAGGGCACCTTCCTCGGGGAACCGCTATGCAGCGCCTGCCCAGGGTCGCGGAATTCTATCCTGCCAGGAGTATTGATCCTAGTCGTCTTGGGGGATTTATCGTGCCAACTGCCTTAACTCGATCTCATGTTAGGGCTAATTGGCTTGGATATGTGGGCTAGGATCTTGTAGAAAACTGACCTTCGGGAGCAGCTTCAGGCTGCAATGTGAAACCTTGCTTTTCCGCTCGCGGTGAAAATGATCCGAGTTTGTAGATAGTCTTCGATAAGTTGACATGCATGCGATTCACTTTATGGATGTACCTTTACCAAAGATGAAATGATTCATTCCAAAGCTACACTCAATCTTCATAAGATGTCATACATGGATCGTACCTCAGCCCTTTTATAGTATCCTTTTGTACTAAAAAATCAACACTAATTCTGTATTGAGTCCCTTCTTTCACACAAAACTTGGTTCTTGGTAAGGTACCTGCAAGCAATTTCCTCTCTAATCCGGCAGATATACGATGTCTGTTTGTAAGCCCGTTCTGTAGTAACTAGTACATAAATGGAAAAAAGAAACTGTGGTTCAAAGATCAATCCACGTTGTTCATATGGACGGACAGACGGAGTCATTTCTACAATTCTGCCTACCTCTCTGCTACTGCCGTTTTATTGACTAACTTACTAAGGAAGGGACCCCAGTGAGGACAAGAGGCTAACTTCAGTATTACCATCACGGTACCGTAACCCAGAGCGGCGCTCAGTTAAATGTAACTCCGCAATGGACGTACGTATAACATTGGACTTTACCTAATTACTTTTAACTTACTCCAGACCACACTATTCTTTTACAAGTGCTTTCCCAACTTATTGCATGAAATTTTACTGCATGCTAGTGATTGGAAAAGCGAAAAACGTCACTATCACTAGAGATTACTGTCATGACATTTTCCGTGACGATACCATTTGGCGCCAGTTTGATGCAACTACAGTTCAGACTCAGTTCGCTACAGACTGGTAGTTAGATTGGAGAGGTAATCCAGGGTCTCGAGTACAAACACGACTTGGTCCTTGGTGCTGGCAAGAAACTTCCGTTTTCCTTGCAATACAATTAATTTATTCGCACAAAGACGTATCATTATGGGACAGTGTATAAAAATGTAATGAGGATACGGACGGTTAGACTGGCCTATGGTGATTTAGGTATAAATCAAAATCTGGCCGGTGTGTACACCCTCCCTAGAGGAACTACACGACCGGCCGCTAACCCGACAAGAAACAAAATGCCTAAAAATATTCCCATTTGCCAGTTTTGGGTTTCCGCAACGCGATACGCTTTGCGATACCATGGATCTGGTGCCAAGTAGTCTCCTTACACCCGTCCCGCCTA